GCGGGCGGGTCAGGAGAGGTCTGCCAGGCCATGTGGTCACCTCCGGGGCAGGCGGGAGTCGAACTCATGAGGAAGTGGCCCCAGCTTCTCAGTGCTGTGCATTTACCCGCTGCGCCACCAGGGAGGGCCGATTTATCATTGTTTTTAAAGCAGTTTGATTATGATGTGACTTAGTGTATTTCCACAAAACAACTGTTCTGGAGCTCCAGTTTCACTATGTTTGACTCCTTAATCTTGTCTCACAACATTGATCCTTTTTCCATGTCCTCCTTGTCTTTATTTCACTTTCATTTTGGATCATTTCTTTTCCTGTGTTTTCAGATTCATTAGTCTTTTCTGCACTGTTCCGTTTTTTGGCTCAAATGTTTACTTTTCACTTCTAGAAGTTTGATATGGATCTTTCAAATTATTTTCCATGCTTTTCTTTAACATGTTTACCTCTTCAAGTATGTATACTGTAGTTACAATGTTTAATGCTATTATTTATAAATTAATTCAATATTCTGTGTTACTGATGGATTGGTTTTGATTGATATTTCTCTTATAGATTGTATTTTCCTACTTCTTTGCATACCTACTAATTTGTTACTAGATACCAGACATAGTAAATTTTATCATGAGTTTTTTGAGTTGTTTTTTATTTTTTTAAGTTTGGGCATTGTTCTTGAGCATATGTAAGTAACCAAAAAGAATTTCATCTTTTTGATGTTTATTTTTAGGGTTTTCTTAGGTGAGACTTGAAGATTCCTTTCCAATTTTTCCTCACTATATACTAATAGCCTTATAACTCTTCTCTGTCTAATGAATTATGTTTTTCATCCTGACTGGTGGTAATCCTCTTTTTCCTCTGTTTGGGTCATTTTCACAAATGCGTGCTTTGTTGACTCAGGTTGAAGCCTCTGCAGATCTTTATAGAGTTTAGTCTCTGTAATTTTTACCTCTCCATCATTCTACCTTACGGATTCTGTCTTCATTTCACTGAACACATGACTCTGTCCCAACTCCCAAATTTGCCGCTTACCTGCGATAGGCTGTTCACCTTTGCCTGGGTCGTTTTCTTCCCAGCACTGGCAACTCTCAAGCCACAAAGATGGGCCAGTCATAGAGGAAACATTGTTTGCCCTCTCAGAAATTAGTATCTTCATTGTCTATTGTTAATTCTCTGAAAAACCATTGCTTTGCTCATTTCTTTTCCTTTTCATTTGATAAAGGCAGTAGTAAGTCTGGTCATTATTACTTTATTTTGATCTGAATTTATAGTAACTATTCCACACTTTCCCCCATCATTAGGTCTACTTTCAACTGAGTTTGATTCGTTCTTTGATAGTTAATTATTAGTGCTTAAGTTTGCTTCCTATCTTCTCATTTTACCCTGCATTCGCTCTTTCCGTCTTAGGTAATTTTTCCATTTCAATTTCAACTCTCTTTTTTATTTGCTTGTTGATATTTTTTTATGTTTGAAGTGGGATTACTTTTAGAGAACTTTTTCTTATTTAAATAGTGTTCTATTTCCGACTGGATTCTTCAAATCTTTTTTTTTTTTCCTTTTTTTTTTGGCCTGCTTATTTATTTTACTTTTTGCTAGAGTATATTGACATTTCTATCTTACTGAAGCTTTAGATAAGTAGCTCTGTCCCTATATTATATCGTGTCTGGCTTTAACAACATCATGTAAAATACTTCATGTCAGTGGGTTCTGGAAACTATAATTTAAGTGAAACAACTTAATGAAAGCAAGTCTTTTGTTGTTTGTTTCAGCAGTGGTGAGGGATATTTTTTCTCATTAATGTTATGATGAAATGATACTGAACAAAAATAATCATTACTCAAGGAGCTGTGGTGCCCATGATTTCTAATATACTGTTTTCTTCCAGAGCTATTGCTATAGGACTAGAACTTCCTAACCTGTCTAGCTTCCTGAGGTTGGTGGTACAGTGGCTGTCAGCCCAGGTTGTGGTCATTCCTTTATAAGAATCTTTATTAATTTGCCTGATACTGTTAACATGCTTTTACCAGTATTTACCTCGGCTAGTAAGGTGAACTCTTCTCTGGGGATAGACAAGATTAAGATGACCTTGCATTGATGATGCAGAATTATTTGTCTGTTTTGCCTAGTTCCAATAGTAATTTTAATTATCACATTTACCAAGTCATAAGGAGGGAAAGAAGTGTACTATTTGACTTCTTTTCCTCTTCTCGGTATTTGAGAATTCTCAGGAACTGTGACTTCAACTCTGTAATTTTTTTTTTTTTTTTTTTTTTTTTTTTTGGTGGGGAGAGGCGGGGACTAAAAAGCAAGAGGTAGAAATGGGCTTGTAATCACGATTTTTTTTTTTTTAAACTACACTTTGATGGCTGCTGGAGATTTTTCACCTTTGTTTTTCAGTTGATTTGTACCTTTTGCTCCATATGTACCTTTTGCTCCATTTGTTTGATTTTACTTACTCCATCTTCATCCAGAAGTCTCTGATTTTGGTTTTAGTTTATAAATAATGTATGTCAACCATATATTTTGTCCCTTGATAATTACTTCTGTACTTTCTTTTTTTAATGTGTAGAATGTAAATTTTCACTATCATTTTGAACTAATTTGAATTTTTGTAACATTTTAATAATAGCATTTTTTATAACATTTTAATAATATTTTTCCTAGATACCATGTTTGTGTGGCAGTGCCCCATGCTTGCTGTGCCGATGCTGTCCCAGTGGAAACAACTCCACTGTAACTAGGTTGATCTATGCACTTTTCTTGCTTGTTGGAGTTTGTGTAGCTTGTATAATGTTGATACCAGGAATGGAAGAACAACTGAATAAGGTTAGTCTTCTTTTTAAATTCATTAAGAGAGACTATAGTATATTTATGCTGAAACTATTATTTGTGTCTTAGAACTCAAATATGCAAATCCCACTTTTAGTAGGTCATAATCTTCTAGGACAATATAAGGCTGCTTGTTGAATTCTCTGATAGTGAATTCTATAATGTGCTGTGGTACTAAGAGGGAATAAAGTATTTCTAACTAGGTAAGTGTCTAAATTTCAGTGGGTCTCATTAAAAAATGAACATTCTAGGGCTTCCCTGGTAGCCTGAGGATTAAATCTCAGTGCTACCACCCTGATGGCCTGAGTTCAATTCCAGGCCAGGGAGGTGACCCACATGGCACAGCAGAGCTCTCTTGTCTTGCCCACTGCTTCCCTCAGCAGTATATTTCAATCAGCCTACCTGTTCAGCTATCCCCTCTGTATCTAGTGGTTCCTCTCACCCCTTGCATTTCTGGCCTCCACCCCAGTTCTACACAAAAATAAAAAAAAAAAAATCAACAATAAAGGAATAATTATTTTAAAAATATAAGCCTTAATTAAAGGGGGGGCAATCTAAGAGTAGGTAGGACTTTTCTATCCAGACTGAACAATAGAAAGGAGAATTGAAAATAATAGTATTTTTCTAGCAAAATATATATACTCTAGGATGATTCATCCAGTAATTAAGATAGAAGCCAAGCAGTTAAATGTAGAGGCTATTGCAATGGAATAATTAAAAAAGTATATGGAAAATAGATTTTCTAAGTATCAAATTGATTTATCTGAATTTAAGCACTAGCAGTGATGGAATCATAATAACTGTGTTTTGATCCTAGCCAACTGGGAGTAAACTTGGTGTTTAACCAGAAACAAAAAAAAGGAAAAGGCATTTTACTTTTTAACATTTTTTAGGAAATCAATCAGGTTGTGAAAAGAGGTAGCGAAACTGTTTATTTTGTGACATGTTGACTTGGGGGGGGGTATTGTATTACATAGGTCTTTGTGAGAATATGTGTGTACCCACCAGGAAGTAAAAAACATGGATATATAACAGAAATATGAGAATTACAGATGTATGTGCATAGAAGTGAAAATTGAAACAATTGTAGCAAATGCCAAAAGAAAGGCATTTAGAGTGGGCAGAACTGGAATTTTAACAAAAGTCTGACTTCAGGGGACCAGTAGGAAAGAGAACCTCTGGTAATAATGACAAAGGACCAAGAGAAGAAGTACTGTTGCACAAGTATCAGGAAGAGAGACAGATTTTAAGAGTGACATGATATTACAGTGTAAAGAAGACAAAGGAATATGAAGATAAGAAATATTTGGGATTTGACAACCATTCATGATTTGAGTCTTGAAAAGGGAGTTTCTTTAGAGTACTGGGCTAGAAGGAATGGGAAGGGGCCCTGAGAACATGTATCTGATGGGTGTAAACTTGATTTGGAGCAGTTTTGTAATAAAAATGGTATTCTCAGATGGAAGCTGAGTTAAGAAAATAATTTTTTAAGATATTTAATTATTTGTATTTTGAGAGAGTCAAAGATTAGTGACCTAGTCAGATAGAGGGGTAAAGGGAGAATATGGTCAAAAGAAGGAATATAGAAATTAGCTTTCTCCCAAGGTTAGTACCTTAGAAATTGTACATTTGCTGTTTTAAGATACTAAGATTTGGGGTTTGTTACTGTACCAACTTTACTTGACTAATACAGATCGTTGAATTAAAGTAATCATGGGAACTGACCAGGTAGTGTTTTACTCTGTACAGGGAATGGGGCAACTAAGGGGACTAGTCATTCATGTTGCAAGTATGGGCAAGTATAAAATTGCAGCAAGAAGACAGAATTTAAGAGAGACTAGAAAAGGTCTTTTAGACTGTGTAGGTGCTAGCAATGTGGTGCCTCTATTTAACTGGAGCTATGTTTGGTTTGCTTATTTTACCTCCTGGTGGAGGTAATTCAATTTCCTACCTACAAATAGGACATACAGTTCTGATGATTATTCCCATTTATTTCAATCAAAGTATTTTTTTTT